AAAAACAAACAAACAAAACCCCAAAACCACAACATCTGTGAAATGCAATAAAGTAAACAGCAATAAAATCAAGTATGTAGGATCTAAACAAAGTTGATTCAACCTATTCATCTGTTTCGAAATGAGCAAACATCAATATGGCCAGGGTGATACTCACTGACCACCTGAGTCAACATAATTGAAGAAGACGGGCTCCGGAGGTCCAGGTCCTTATGCTGCATGGACTGTCACCCAATGAAAGCATTAGAAATGACCTTTGTGACACCAGAATAGCAGCAACAATTCAGAAATCATAAAAACACACCGTACATCAAAATCACTAACTGTTAAACTAACTTAGTTCTGAGCTGGGCTTTGGTTATTGAAATAATTTTAGAGGAACTAATAAATATGTAATCCACACCTGCTTATAACCATAAAGGGATTTCTAAAACCCATTTTCAATACGAAGAGATAATTTATCTGTGCCTTATTCTCAAACAATAATACCCAAACACTGAAGTAAAAGAGAGAGTGATCTGTTTATCTAATGGTGACCAACGACGGAACTTTAGTGCTTTCAAGAGCCAGGCCATTTTTATTATTATTTTAAATTCTGTGAGCAGAGGAGCAATCTGCTGCTAAGGTCTGCTTAAATTCCAAGCACCTGCTTTCTCTGGTCTGAAGGCAGATGGTACGTCATAAAAATAAAAGTCAAGGGGAATATGAACAGAAAGAGAGTCCCTTTAAAACCCGTTAGGAGGAGGCTCTTTTTCCTAAAATCTAATGCTGTAGATATACATGTTTATGTTAATATCTTAGCTCAGAATTGGGGAACGGATGCAGGGCATTAAAAAGTTCCTTAGGCTCAGATCTTGGAAGATGGCGGCATAAGTACACATTTGTACTTGCCGCCTCCCACAACCACATCAAAATTACAACTAAAATGCAGAACAACCATCATCCATAACTGCTGGAAAGCTGGCTGAATGGAATTCCTACATCTAGAGAAGTAAAGAAGGAAGCACACTGAGACTGGTAGGAGGTGCAGAGGCTCGAATGAACTGATCCAGCACCCATGTGTGCTGCTTTTTTAATCAGGAGGGAGATTATCTCTGTGGAGGCTGCCCAGAGGAGCAAGGGATCCCAGCCCCACACCAGACCCCCAGCCCAGGGTCCAAGAGCTGGGAAAAGAAGTCCCTACAGGCAGTAAGAACTACAGGCTGAAAAACTAGTGCAGAGTGGGGCTCAGTGACACAGAGGCTGCTAGAGACCCAGCTGTTCCTCTTAAAAGGCCCGCACTATGAACTGAACTTACCAGGTCCTGCCTCCTCTGAGCTCTAGCACCAGGGCAAGGCTCTGGGGAACACAGATGCATATGAGGAGGAACTGGATTGTCTGGCATTGGGGCAGGAAGGAGGGGGGGGGCTTTCTCCCAGATGCAGGAATCATTGTTCCTATGCTGGGACCTCCCCCGTTGCAGGATTGATTGTCAGCTATTTCTGTTTGCTCCACCCTGGTGATTTCCTAAGACCCAGCCTCATCCAATTTACAACCTCATCCAAGCTGTGTGCAGCAGCTTTTACATATGAATGGCCTTTCCTTGCTCAGGATAAAATCTCTCAAACAAGCTGCAACTGGGTCAGGGAGCCCCAACTTATCAATAAAAGGCCCAAGACCTAGCACCAGCACCAGCCTGCCTTGCTTTATATTGGGCCTCATCTGGATACTTCCAAACCTGATACAAAGAGGAGGAATCTGAAGATATCTCTGTAGCTCCTGCTGGATGGCCCCAGGGAGTGGCTGACTCTGCACCTCCCTGGAAACCCAAGAGCCAGTATACTCAGTGGTCAGTGTCAGACCATACCAGATTACAACTCTTCACATCCATAAGCAACACACTCAAGGGGCAGACTCATTGAGCACCAAAGCCCCACTGAAGCAAGTCCATAGGGTGGAAGGGGGCAAAAGGGAGAAACAGCTCTCCCACTGTAGTCGCAGCTGGTCCCCAAAGCCAATTGGCCTAGAGGTCAATTCCTCCCAGTGACACCAACATCAATCAAGTCTCAACTACAACAAGACTGCACACAGCCCACAAAGGGGTGCACCTACAGCTCCCAGCTCAGGTGACTAGGGAGGCTGAGCCACAAGGAGACATAGCAGCTCTATTCAATTCTAGAAACAAACACAGGGAAGCAGCCAAAATGCAGAGATAGGGAGGCATTTTGCAAATGAAAGAAATGGGAGAGAGCAGACTACTGGATATAGAGTTCAAAACCATGGTTATAAGGTTACTCAGGGATCTTCTAGAGCAGTGGTTCTCAACCTTTCTAATGCCGCGACCCTTTAAAATAGTTCCTCATGTTGTGGTGACCCCCAACCATAAAATTATTTTCATTGCTACTTCATAACTGTAATTTTGCTACTGTTCTGAATCATAATGTAAATATCTGATATGAAGGATGTATTTAGGTGACCCCTGTGAAAGGGTCGTTCGACGCCCAAAGGGGTCGCGATCCACAGGTTGAGAACTGCTGTTCTAGAGACCTCCAAAAAAAATGTAAAAGGACCAGTTATAAATTAAGCATACACTGACTGAAATAAAGAATAATATACAGGGATTCAACAGTGGAGTGGAGAATTCTGAGAATCAAATCAACGATTTGAAATATGAGGAAGCAAAAAACACCCAACCAGAAGAGCAAAAAGAAAAAATCCAAAAATGTGAGGATGTTATAAAGAGCCTCTGGGACAACTTCAAGCAGAACAACATTTGCATTGTGGGGGTGCCAGGGGAAGAAGGAGAGAGAGAGAAAGAGAGAGAGAGAGAGAGAGAGAGAGAGAGAGAGAGAGAGATTAAGGACCTGTTTGAAGAAATAATGACAGAAAACTTCCCTTATCTGGTAAAAGAAATAGACTTACAAGTACAGAGAGTCCCACACAAAAGGAACTCAAAGAGGACCACACCAAGACACATCATAATTAAAATGCTAAGGGCTAAAGACAAAGAGAGAATCTTAAAAGCAGCAAGAGAAAAACAGTTAGTTACCTACAAGGGCATGCCCATAGGACTGTCAGCTGATTTCTCAACAGAAACTATGCAGGCCAGAAGGGAGTGGCAAGAAATATTCAAAGTGATGAATAATAAGAACCTACAACTCATGTAGAATTGAAGTTCAGATAAAGAGCTTCACAGATAAGGAAAAGCTAAAGGAGTTCATCACCACCAAACAAGTATTATATAAAATGTTAAAGGGTATTCTTGAAGATTATGAAGACGAAAAAGGAGGAGGAGGAAAATATGAACAACAAAATGGCAACAAATACATACCTATCAACAACTGAATCTAAAAATTAAAATAAACAAATAAGAAATCGAATGAACAGAATAAACTGGTGAATTAAATAGAATCAGAGGCATGGAAATGGAACAGACTGATGACTCTCAGAGGGAAGGGGGGTGAGGGGGCAGGAAGAGATTAAACAAGATCTTATATGTATATATGCATTACCTATGGACACAGACAATAGGGTGGCAAAGGCCTGGGGTGGGGTGGGAATCGGATGGAGGGGGGCAAACAGGAGGAAAAAGAGGAACATCTATAATAATCTCAACAATAAATATTTTTTTTAAAAAGTTCCTTAGTCTGATTCATATGCATGTGCTCACATATTTCCATAGGATGGGGAATAGCCTTTACTTTAGCTTATTAGCACCTAAGGCAGAACAGCTTGTAATTGGAATTCTCACAAGTATCCCAAACAGCAGCAGCTGCTGTTCCAACCTACAGACTAACTGCAACTCTATCGAGTTCTCAGAGTAACCAAAACACTGCCCAGTGGCTGTGTGAGTCAGCTTAAGCTGCTACAACAAAGTCCCACAGACTGGGTGGCTTCAGCAACAGGAATTTCTTTCATAGTTCTGGAGGCTGGAAGATCAAGGTGCTGGTCAATCCAATCCCCTTGTAGTGTCCTCTCCCTGGCCTTCTCGCTGTGTCCTTACATGTACAGAGAGGGAGCTTCCGGTCTCTCTTTCTCTTATAAGAACATGATTCCAACATGGGGGCCCCACCTCAGGATCTCCTAAATCTAATGACCTCACAAGGGCCCCACCTCCAAATAACATTCTGGAGATTAAGGACTTTAACACACAAATTATGGAGGGACACAGCATTCCATCCAAACAATGGGATAACCTCATACAAATACTTATGGGGCTTATATCGCTAAGCTAAGCTGTAATAAATTGGCCTCAATATGTTTTTCCACAATAATTAAGTAGGGTGATGCTTTTCAAACTGTAGGTGCACCAGAACCCCCTGCAGTTTGGTAAAACAGATTTCTTGGCCTGAGCCGTGGAGATTCTGATTTAGTAGGTCTGGTATGGAACCCAAGTGATTGCCTTTCTCACCAGCTCCCAGATGCTGCTGATGTGGTCTGTCTGCTAACTGCACTTTGAAAACCACTGATATAGGAGCTCCCTTTAGAATGTCAGTATCAGTTATGCTTCTTTGGGCCTGTATTGGCTTCTCAGTAAATACCTATTTTATGCTGAACACATTTGAAATGTGTCATTGGCTTATGCTCAGATGTTGCAGTTACATACAAAGGTGCTGAAAAGCAGACGGACAGATGTGCTGAGGCGAGGTTGTTTGGTGCTGTGAGCACCAGGCAGAGCCCATTCATCAGCATGTTTGGGTGCTGATGTGTGGCTGCACACAGCTCCAGGTTTTGCAAGGATGTCTGCTGACATCTGGTCCTGACTAATTTTATCTTAGAATGTAGATCTGGTCTTTGAAGTTCTGGATTCAGCTATCTTACCTCTACAAGCACACTGCAATAGTTTGGCCTGACATCACATTTTGAGAAAGCTTCATATGACGCACTTGAGCAATGCTTAGCTTTTCTGTTCAACTCATTTGTCCTATAATCACACTTGGTTAAATTTTAAAGCAAGGTTCTGCCATGAAACAGCATAATTTTAAGATTTACCCCAAGTGCACTTTGGAATGTAAACATACCTTATTTAGCTTTACAAAATATTCCAATCCAGCTTCCAAGGGATTTGTATCGCAGTTCATCTAAAAGGGAAGCACACATTTTAAACCTTAGACGAGTGCAAATAATTTCAGTAACTTCCATGGTTTTGTTTGTTTGTTTTCGTGTCATTTTTTTTTTGAAAGAGAATACTTTTTTATTTTAAATATAAATTCTGAAAAATGATAATTATTTACTGGTCTTTAAAGTGATCTTTAAAATCTAAAATTCAAATGTAGCCTTTCAGATACTTCAATAGCAAAGTAGAAACTAAAATTCACAGTTTGGTTCCATGACTTTTATTATAATAAATAGCTGAGAGATAACACAACATGATGTTCCTTCCAAAAACAATACTTTCATATACTTTTATGTAATAATTTTGCATAATTAGGTTTTGAAAACTTATGAAGTAAATTGCTTATCTTACAATTAGTGAGGATTCAGGATAAGTAGAGGGGAAAGCAGATGGTAGGGAAATGATTTCTATGGAATTCAGGAAAAGAGAAAAGGAAAAAGCAGATGTGGACTCTCAATCTTTTTTTTTTATAGTCCTTTGGTTTTATTTTCTGGGATTAAAAAGAAGTATAGGCATAAATGTTTCACCTGATCCTCTTAAAGATATCCTTTAAAATAATTCATAAAATGGTTTAGGTTTCTTGGTTATCAGGACCCATCAATGTCACTGTCAGCCTTGACTGACTGGTTGAAAATTTCAGAGCAGAAGAAATAACTTATGAATATTTTCCCAATCCCTGAGAATCATAATCATCACAGGACTATTTTATCATTTCATCATACACTTTCAGAAAGTAGATGTGTTCATTCATTGTTAACAGGACACAGAGCAATGTATATACAGAACAGGACTGGGGAATATCTGGCCCATGGGCTGTATAAGTCCTACAAAATCATTTGGTTTGGCCCTGCCAAGGCATTAGGAGTGAGTTAATTAAGTGTCTGGTAGCAGGCTAATTTTTAAGCTGATAATTTTGTATGGCCTGTGAATGATATTATAAATATCCAAATGGCCCCTGGAAGAAAAAAGTCTCCCCACCCCTGTAATAGAGGGTTAATCCATGTAAATTGGCTTCCACCAGTAAGTAAATTTTCTGAAAATCAGGGATATAGTCAGGAAGAAAACCAAAGAAGGAAAATGACATAGACCACTCTGCTGCAGTAGTGATCATATGAAGCACATCACCTTTGTTCTGAAGGTTCCAGTGGAGTTTCTGTACTACATCTGAGCCCAAACTGCCACTACAAAAGTGACGAGCAAGTCAACATGCTACGCGCACTTGCTCCAGATGACCAGCAGTAGTCTGAGTCAGAAGACTTGTTTGTCATGAATCTGCGGCTGCATTTGGTAGGAAAGGATGGTCTGAACAAACATATACAGAGAACCCATACCAAAAGGGAGCATTGCTCCACACACGTACAGCAAAAAAAAAGGTGGTTTTCTGGACGTTTGCCACAACAGAAAGTCCTTAACAACTCAGCAATCCCAGTCCAAGGCCAGCCTTGTTTAATTCGTTGATTCACTTCCCTTAGGAATTCAGAGTATGAACTTGCTTATAATAAACATAAATGGTAGCAACGCATAAAAGCGTGGTGAAATTTAACAGACAAGCATTGTTCTGGAGCTACTGTGCGAGTGTCACTGATAGGAGGCGAACAGGGGCAGCATTGTGGAGAGTGACAGCAGTCATGTAGGAGGGTATGAAAGCAGCAGCTGTCCAAATTGCACGGGCTGAAGGCAGGAAACTGAGGCCTTAGTGACACCACCGCGTCTCACACAGGTCTTAACACTTAGCAGTTCCTTGCTTCTTTGGTTTTCTCTTCCTCCCTAAACTTCAAGTTCTGTGAGAACAGGAACCAACTGTTTTCTTCACCATTATCTTTCCAGCTACTGTGTTAGGCTGTCTTCAAATCTGCCCAACCTGCCCCTGGTGTAGATCCCATGTCCTCTGCTTTCTTTGAAGATCCGTGAATCAGAACTGCAGTTACAATTTTTAAATCTCATAAATATCTAAATGCCACTGGCACTCAGATGAATTCCTTACGCTGTCTCCTCTAAGTGGTGCCTGCTTGTTAGGATGAGCCACCAGATGCTGGGTCCGGAGCCTGCAGGCTGGAGGGAGATGAGCCTCAATCTTTTCTAATGCAGTTGCATTATTACAATATACTTCCAGTCAAAGCTAACACAGCTACTTGCGATTAAACCTGAAGTTAATGTTCTTGTCTGTTTATTTTGTTGGTATTTGTCCCTTTTGCTCCAAGAGAACTTGTCTAAACCTCATAAAAAGTAGGCAAACTTTAAAGAAAAATGACATCAGCACTAACATAAATCAAATGAGTAATATACGCTTGTTTCACATTATATAAAGTGATGTGGTCTCATATTTTCTAATTAATTTTAATTATTTTTTTATCTGCTCCAAGTTTTAGAATTTCTCCTTTGGGGCCGGGAGTGGGCG